CACCCACAGAACCAAACACCCACACCCACCCAAACACACACACACACACCCTCACCCAAACACACACACACACCCTCACCCAAACACACACACACACCCTCACCCAGAGAACCAAACACCCATACCCACCCAAACACACTCACACTCACATAGAACCAAACACCCACACCCACCACCCAAACACACACACACTCACATAGAACCAAACACCCACACCCACCACCCAAACACACACACACTCACACAGAACCAAACACCCATACCCACCCAAACACACACACACTGAACCAAACACCCACACTTTTGCACACTCTCACTCACACATATCCAAACACCCACAAGCAGCCCGACACGCTTGCCCACGCACACAAACCTGCACTGACACTTATACACCCATAGTCAGTCTCTCACCTGTGCTCACACATCCGCGTTCTTGCACCCGCACCCACACCCACACACACGCCTGCCTCACAGACATGCCCACACCCTCCATGTGCGACCCCCATGCCCACCCACATGCCACCAACCAAATAGACACAGATACAACATTGTGGTGTGAGCGAAAGGAAAGAGTGGGAATGCTGTTCACTGGTCCCTGTTCACAGGGTTTGTTGTGATAGTTCTTGTGCTGATCAGACACTGCTTCTCAATCTTCCTCCTCTAGATACTTGCACTGATTTACAAGAGGCACAGGATTACTGGTTCACTTATGAATGGCCCCTGACTTATTAATTTTTCATCAGATTTAAGGTGTTTTGTTTTGCAGCAGAGAATAGAGACAGGCCCTAAGCTCCAAACGCAAATTCTATCTCGAAGAACAACAGCAGCAGATGCACTGCAGAAATTCACCAAAGATACTTGGTACCATCCAAACCCATAACGAAGGACAAGGGCAGCAGATACATGGGAACACCACCCCCTGCAAGTTCCCCTCCAAGCCCCTCACCATCCTGACTTGGAAATATATCACCGTTCCTTCACTGTCACTGCGTCAAATTCCTGGAATTCCCTAATAGCATTGTGGGTCAACCTACAGCACATGGACTGCAGCAGTTCAAGAAGGCAGTTCACCACCACCTTCTCAAGGGGCAACTGGGAACGCTCAAGAAATGCTGACCCAGCCAGTGACACCCACATCTCAGAAATACGTCTTTAAAAGCTGCCAACCAAAATTGGAATGCAAATGAGGTCAAGCTAAAAGAAAGAATGGAGATGGTGACTGCAATCTGAAAAGGTGACACTCAATGTTGAGTCATGGAAGCTGTGAAGTTGCTTATAGAAAGGGCAAGGGATTTTCCTGAAGCTTACCTCACCAGAAGCAAGCAGCAGGCCAAGGACAGAGAGGCCAGTGTGCGAGTAAGGTGGAGAATTCAAATCGCAGATGATCAGAAGTCAGCTTAATGCTTGTGCACTGTGTGAAGGTGTTCCACAAAGTGGTCACCCAGTCTGTATTCGACCTCCACAGCTAAAGGAGACCACACTGTGAGCAGTGAGTACATTGGTTTACATTGAGAAAGGTGCCCATACATTACAGCTTCACATGGAGAGAATGTTTGGGGCTCTGGGCTGTGGAAGGATTGTCTGACTGGGTAGGTACCCGTGGGAGGGTAAGAGGTTGTTGGATGTTAGAAAACATTAACTCAGTTTCTTTCTGCACAGATTCTGCCAGCTCTGTGTAGTGTTCCCAGCATTTTGGGGTTTTATTCATTTAGGCTTAAGCATCTACTGTACTTTGCTTCTTTTTCAAACTTAATAAGTTTGCCTTAGAACATAGAACATTACAGCGCAGTACAGGCCCTTCGGCCCTCGATGTTGCGCCGACCTGTGAAACCAATCCGAAGCCCATCTAACTTAAACTATTCCATTATCATCCATATGTTTATCCAATGACCATTTAAATGCCCTTAAAGT